TCCGCTTTGTTCGGAATCACTTCTAGGATGATTTTATGCGGAGAGACTGTTTCCGATTATGATATGATCGAGAAAACTTTCCAAACATTTCATCCTACAAATGTAATCCTGCAGCAACAATATCGAGCTAGAGGATATACTCGATATTCTGACTTAATGCAAGTCCTTCTTGTTGCTGAACAAAATAATGAACTTATGATGATGAATCATCAAACTCGTCCAACTGGATCAGCTCCACTTTCAGAAGTGAATGTTGCTTCATCCAGTTATAATAATTGGCGAGGACGCGGACGCGGTCGTGGAGGACGTCATGGACGAGGAAAAGGAAGGGGTCTCCCTCCCAATAATTTCAACGGCAAGAAAACCAACAAAAATCTTCAAGTGAATGACGCTGGTCGCACTTTGAAGAAACAAGATGAAAGTACTTGTTACAGATGTGGAATGAAAGGACATTGGTACCAGACCTGTCATATACCAAAACATTTGGCCGATTTGTATCAAGCGTCTCAAAAAGCAAAAGAAAGAGATGTTGAGACCAATCTCATCTCTGATAAAGCAGGACCTTCGTTCCATGGCCTTAATGATGAAACCCATCTTGATATCGCAGATTTTCTCGTTGATCATGAAAACGGGAAGTCAGGCTAATAAGATCGTTATGACATAATATGGTTCTACTAGTATTTTATGTATTTTACGGTTTCAATGCACTTTTTGTTTTAAAAGTCTTTTTGAATAATGGTTACTTTGTAATATACAATAAAGTTCTCTTTGTAAGTCTTTATGTTATTAATGCATATTTTATAAATGCTTTATCTCAGAAAATGTCAAATTTTGAGATTGAGGATGGAGATATATGTTTGGCAGACAGTGCTACGACGCACACGATACTTAAAGATAAAAAATATTTCTCCTCTCTCAAAATAAATGACTCCGTTGGAAGCGTGAGTACCATATCTGGTAATGCAAAGATCATTATGGGCTCTGGAAAAGCCATTTTTTAATGCCAAAGGGTACAAAATTTGAAATTGATGCATTATATTCCCCTATGTCTCATAGAAACTTAATAAGTTTCAAAGATATCCGAAGAAATGGATATCATATAGAGACTATGAATAAGAATGGCGTTGAATATCTTTGTATTACATCCGAGGGGAAACATATACTAGAAAAATTACCAATGTTATCCTCTGGATTATATTGCACAAAAATAAATATGTTCGCATCATATGTTACAGTAAACTCAAAGTTTACTAGTACATTTAAGATTTGGCATGAAAGACTTGGACATCCTGGTTCAGTCATGATGCGAAAAATTGTGCAAAATTCTAGTGGCCATCCATTGAAAAACCAAAAGATTTTTCAATCTAATGAGTTTTCATGCGATGCATGTTCTCAAGGAAAACTCATAATTCGGCCATCGCCAAGCAAAATTGGGAATGAATCTCCATTATTCTTAGAGAGAATACATGGTGATATATGTGGACCTATCCACCCTTCGTGTGGGCCGTTTCGTTACTTTATGGTAATGATCGACGCATCCAGTAGATGGTCACATGTGTGTCTATTGACAACACGAAATACGGCTTTCGCGAAATTTATTTCCCAAATAATCAGGTTGAAAGCACAATTTCCTGATTACGCCATAAAGAAAGTCAGGCTTGATAACGCTGGTGAATTCACTTCACAAGCCTTTAATGACTATTGTATGTCAATGGGAATCGATGTTGAGCATCCAGTCCCTCATGTTCATACTCAAAATGGCATGGCTGAATCTTTAATTAAACGGTTGCAACTCATTGCTAGACCGTTAATATTGAGAACAAAACTCCCAATTTCTATATGGGGTCATGCTATATTGCATGCTGCAGCGTTGGTCCAGATACGACCAAGCGCATATAATAAATATTCCCCTTTACAATTAACGTCTGGTCAAGAGCCAGACGTAGCCCATCTCCGTGTTTTTGGGTGTGCGGTTTATGTTCCTATAGCCCCACCACAAAGAACAAAAATGGGGCCACAACGGAGATTGGGTATATACGTCGGTTATGCATCACCGAGTATAATTCGGTATCTTGAACCGCAAACTGGTGATATGTTTACGGCACGTTTTGCCGATTGCCATTTCAATGAAGATGAATTTCCAGCGTTAGGGGGAGGAATTAAACAAGTACCAAAAGATATTACATGGTCTACACCATCTTTGGTATATCTTGATCCTCCTACAAATCAACGTGAGCTGGAAGTTCAGAAAATTATACATTTACAAAATTTGGCAAATCAATTACCAGATGCGTTTACAGATACAAAAAGGGTGACAAAATCATACATTCCCGCTGCAAATGTCCCATCAAGAGTTGAAATTCCTAGAGAGGAATTCGATGGAAGCAAAACTAATGAACCTAAGGTTCAATTGAAGCGTGGAAGGCCAATGGGCTCGAAAAATAAAAATCCCCGAAAGAAAAAGAAAATGGGAGATGAAAATGAAAAGGTTCAAGAAGAACCTAATAAAGAGAAAAATCCTCAGGACAATACAGAAAAATATGAGATTTCCATTAACTATGCCCAAGATGGAAAATTATGGGCTAGAGATGAAATCGATGATGATGATGGAATATTTTCTTTTTCGGTATCTAAAGAAATCGATCATGAAAATGATGATCCCGATCCAAGGTCCGTATCAGAATGCCAACAAAGGACTGATTGGGAGAAATGGAAAACTGCAATGCAAATTGAGTTGCTCTCCCTCAATAAAAGAGATGTCTTTGGACCTCTTGTCACTACATCTAAAGATGTAAAACCTGTTGGCTGCAAGTGGGTATTTGTGCGAAAAAGAAATGAAAAAGATGAAATCACACGATATAAAGCCCGACTTGTTGCACAAGGTTTTTCTCAAAGACCTGGAATTGATTATGAAGAAACATATTCTCCGGTCATGGATGCAATTACATTCAGGTACTTAATGAGCCTAGCGGCCTCTAATAATTTAGAAATGTACCTAATGGATGTAGTAACAGCATATCTATACGGATCATTGGAAAATAATATTTATATGAAAATCCCAGAAGGATTTAAAGTTCCTGAAGTATTAGACTCAAAGTCTAATGAAATATGTGCGGTCAAATTACAGCGATCACTTTACGGATTAAAACAATCCGGACGCATGTGGTATAATCGTTTAAGCGATTATTTATTAAAGAAAGGGTATGTTAATAATGAAATATGCCCTTGCGTCTTTATTAAGAAATCTCCATCGGGATTTGTGATCATTGCTGTATATGTTGATGACCTAAACATAATTGGAACTCAAAAGGAGATTGATGATGCAAGAACTCATATGAAAGAAGAGTTCGAAATGAAAGATCTCGGAAAGACAAAATTTTGTCTCGGACTCCAAATAGAGTATTTCCAAGACGGAATATTTGTGCATCAATCAAACTATACCAAAAGAATCATTAAGCGTTTTTATATGGATAAAGCGCATCCTTTGAGTACTCCAATGGTCAATAGATCTCTGAATGTTGATAATGATCCATTCAGACCTTGTGAAGATAACGAAGAAATACTTGGTCCCGAAGTACCTTACATGAGTGCTATCGGTGGACTTATGTATCTTGCAAATTGCACCAGACCGGACATTGCATTTGCCACTAATCTACTTGCAAGATACAACTCATCCCCTACCCACAGACATTGGAATGGGATAAAACACATCTTTCGCTATCTTCAAGGTACGATTGACCTAGGATTATTCTATCCTAGAAACTCTGCGTTTGGTCTAGTTGGTTTTGCAGATGCAGGATATTTATCGGATCCGCATAAATCTCGGTCCCAAACTGGATACGTTTTCACAATCGGAGGAACTGCAATCTCGTGGCGTTCTCAGAAACAGACTTTGGTCGCCACCTCTTCAAACCATGCAGAAATGATTGCGCTTCATGAAGCCTGCAGAGAATGTATGTGGCTTAGATCTATGACCAACCACATACAAGAAGCAAGTGGAATAGCCTCTAGTAAAGAGCCGACAACATTATTCGAAGACAATGCTGCATGCGTCGCCCAAATTAAAGAAGGTTATATCAAAAGCGACAGAACGAAGCATATCCCTCCAAGGTTTTTCTCCTACACTCAAGAACTCGAGAAAAACAAAGAAGTTGATATCCAATATATCCGCTTAAGTGACAACGCAGCAGACCTGTTTACTAAAGCGCTTCCCACTTCAACCTTCAGAAAGCATATTCATAACATTGGGATGCGTAGTCTACGAGAATTATGAAGAAAAGATGACATCTATTTTCCAGGGGGAGATTACGTTATTGTACTCTTTTTCCCTTATCATGGTTTTTATCCCACATGATTTTTCCATGATAAGGTTTTTAACGAGGCAATACGTAATACGACAATAATGATGACTAATCAAGGGGGAGTATTGTGAAGCATGATTAATCATCATCACACTTGTCTTTGTAAGACAAATCCCCATCACCATACACATGTCTTCTCTATATTGAGAGGTTATAACCTCATCATCATCCATGTGTCAACCTCTAATCTTGTAAACTTTACTATAAATATGTGTAATCAAAGTTGTAGAGAACGTGGAATAAAAAGCTTCATATATACTCTTGTTACTCTCTCTCTAGTCACCAAAAATCTCTCTCTCTCTCTAACACACATATATATAGTTGTGTTGTAGTTTTATTTAACAACTTTGTGGTATATCTTCTATTACGAGTATTTTCGGATATGAGCTTCGGGTCGAGGTTTTTTAAAGGCCAAAGCATTTTCGTCGATGGTGAAGAACAAAGAAATAGTTGGGCTTTACAGATTTTGAATATCTAATTGGGCCGAATTAACTCGTAATTGATATGTCTAACTCTTGTACACGTGTCATTATATTATTGGTTAAGCTTACGCAGACGAATTTCTAAGAGAGGTCTTCTTCTTCCTCCTCCCTCTTCGTTCGTGATTTCTCATTTCCTTAATGGAAAGCTTAAGGCTTTGAGATTATATCTCTTCTTCAACATATACACGACTCTGAATTATCATCTTCTCCTTCTAGCTCCTGATTTCTTCTCTCCTGTAAGTTATTTGATCGAATTCTCAATTTTTTTAAACAATTTCTGGGTTTTGGATTTTGTAGTTTCATTGATCAATGAGATTAAAGTTTGGATATTTTTTTGTTTGTTCTTTCCTCTTTATGATCCTATTGTGAAGGAGCTTGAGGACAATGATTCAGCTAAGGGTTTACGCTGGTCTTAGTACTCTCGCGGCATTGGTTGTGATTTATCATGCTTTTAGTAGCAGAGGTCAATTTTACCCAGCGACTGTGTATCTATCAACGTCCAAGATCAATTTGGTGGTTCTTTTGAACATGGGTTTGGTCTTAATGCTCAGTTTATGGAATCTTGTCAAAATCGTGTTTCTGGGTTCTCTTAGAGAAGCTGAAGTTGAGCGTTTGAATGAGCAAGCTTGGAGAGAACTGATGGAGATTCTCTTTGCTATTACTATTTTTAGACAGGACTTCTCTGTTGGTTTTATCTCTTTGGTTGTGACTCTTTTGTTGATTAAGGGTTTGCATTGGATGGCTCAGAAGAGAGTGGAGTACATTGAGACTACTCCTTCTGTGACTTTGCTCTCTCATGTTCGTATTGTTTCGTTTATGGTGTTTCTTTTGCTCTTAGATTGTCTTCTTACGTATAGTTCTATACGGCAATTGATTCAGTCCCGGAAAGCTTCAATGTCAGTCTTCTTCACGTTTGAGTAAGTGTCTTTTGCTTCTTACTTATTGTCATGGAATCCTGTAGAGTTAGAGATTTGTTAAGGAAGAGTTGTTTTAGAGTTATGGAGGATATACGCGCATATACATGTTTTCAGGAGTGTTAGGTTCTTTTGGCTGCAAAGAATTTGAGCTGGATTTTGAAAATGTTAAAAGTTTTTGCACCTGCCAAAACCTATGAATTTGACATAGCTGAGTTGCATATGAGAAGAATCTCTAATAAATCATCTGCCAAGATTTTGTTTAGTCTATGATAACTTACCTTTCGATTTTAGATATCATTGTAACCCTATATTTGGATATCTAGTATGTTTTAAATCTCTATATACAAGTAAAATATTTGGGGTATCAAAGTAAAACTCTGATGTATGTTTGAGCTCTTTAGATTTCAGAGAAGAACCATATGAGAAACTATTACTAACGTGAATATGTTTTTCTATGAACCTTACTTGAAGGCCTCTTAGATACTGTTTTAGTTACTAGGATCCTTATTTAATCAACCCCCTAGTTAAAAGCTTATGCCATCTATCAAACACAAAAGATACATGAAACATTTATCGAAAATTGCTGAATATATGGGGGAAAGGTGCAGGTGATCAAAAGGGTAGGATTTTTATTCATGATATTAGTTTTGGGTATGTTGCATATTGTTTAGTTATGTATCCGTCTTTGGATATGATATTTTCCTCTGTTTAGCTGTTTGTTCTTACAATAAGTCTTACTGAATTTTGCATCATACAGCCTAGCTTTAGACTTAGTTATGAATTTTATGTTGCAGGTATATGATTCTGGCAACAACAACTGTTTCTATTATTGTGAAGTATGCCTTTTATGTCACTGATATACTCAAGGAAGGTCAATGGGAAGGAAAACCAGTATACACTTTCTATCTGGAGCTTGTTCGTGACTTGCTTCACCTGTCCATGTATCTTTGCTTCTTCCTTATGATATTCATGTAAGTTTTTCGTTCATTCAACTTAGATGTTATACCACCAAAAGAAACCTGAAACCTTAATAATTAACATGCTGAAATTAGTATGTCACAACTCACTATTGCCTTATCGTTTTACAGTTTTTGTTGCTGGATACTTGTTTCAAGAGTTACTTGCATAACTCTATCATTACACTTAATGCCAATTATGAGTCTTCTCTTGGTTACATTAGTGCTTTCATATATTTTTACTTGTAGACGTTGAAAGTCATAAATGAGAAACAATAATCAGCCAGTAAGCCAAAACAATAGAACTACTGCGTCAGTCTTTTATGCAATTTATGGCATTTTAGTATTGGAATTTGTATCCTAATTCGAGTATCACTTTTTTTATTGCGTAGGAACTATGGCCTTCCCTTGCATCTAATACGGGAGCTCTACGAAACGTTCAGAAACTTCAAGATTCGTGTGACTGATTACCTCAGATATCGTAAAATCACTTCCAATATGAATGAACGGTTTCCTGATGCAACTCCTGAAGAACTTAGTGCGTAAGTTCCAGATATTCCCACAAGATTTATGTTTCCAAATTTCTTAACTTCATAATGCTTATATAGCTAGATCAATCACATTTCTTTATTTGGGGTTTGCAGAAATGATGCCACTTGTATCATATGTCGTGAAGAAATGACCTCAGCGAAGAAATTAGTATGTGGCCATCTATTTCATGTGCATTGTCTACGGTCATGGTTGGAACGACAGAACACATGTCCCACCTGCAGAGCACTGGTTGTCCCAGCTGAGAATGCTACATCAACAGCTTCTGGAAACCGTGGACCACACCAAGAATCCCTGCAGCAAGGTATAGGTCTTGCTATTCATACATATTTTTGGTTATATTGAACTCTGTGCTCCCAATCTTATTTGTCTCTGGAGGTTCTTAGTATGGAGAATGACATATGTGCTTCAGATCGTCCAGAAGATGAATCGTTTAAATTGTTGTTAACATGAGACTAATGATGCTCCACTCTTCATACAGGAATCGGTACTTCAAGTTCTGATGGTCAGGGTTCTTCTGTTTCTGCTGCTGCCAGTGAGAATATGAGCAGGCATGAGGCTAGGTTTCAAGCTGCTGCTTCTGCAGCCTCTATATATGGGAGATCCGTTGTTTATCCATCTTCTGCAAACACACTAGTATGGTATGTGTGAAAGCTATATCCAAAGAAATAAAACATACTCACCTAGCATGAATAACAAATATATTCAGACATGATCTTAGTTAGTGTCTTATGAGTGTTGTAGCTTAAGGAAGCTATTATGGTGCTAGTTTCTCTCACATGTCTTTTTATTCCACCTGAACATTTCCATGTGATGTCCTGTATATGTCATGTTAGCCTGAGACTTGGCTTGTATAGTTTTTCTTCCCTTTAACATCTGTTATTATCCACTATATATGATGGTAAAGAAAAAACTAACACTAAGATTGGCCATGTGAAGGTCTCAAGGTTATTCATCGCTTCCTCAGACGGAACTAGAAGCTCATAGGAGATTTCTTGAGTCCCAAATTGAGGTATGTTGATACAATTTGTACAAAAACTACTTTATTCGATAAGCAGCTCATAATTTCTATCAAATTGTTTTCTCGGTAGGTGTTACAAAACCAACTTCGGTTTCTGGAGAAGCCGGCAACTGTAGATACAAAAGGAAAGTCAGTTGCGGAAACTGCAGAGTGAATCATTTTACAGCAAATGTGGTGGTCTTATTAGAGGTCATTCGCATAAATGTGGTAAAGACGAGTGGATAGGAGTTTAGGGTTTTGGAGTAAAGAGAGAAGTTAAACTGAATCTCAGAATGTGTGAATGGTTTTGCTACAGAGAGGATTAAAGAATGTAAATGTTGGGTGTCTCATAGAAGCTTGGAACAGAAGTAGCAAACTGGTCTTTTGTTTACTCTTTACCACAATTGTCTCTCTATCTACAAAAGTTTTTCTTTAAGTTTGTTCCCTTCTCTCATCAACTACAGCTGAAAAAAATTTAAGCAAAAAGATAACAAAACCAAAAAATTTAGGAAAAAGAAAAAAAATCAATTGGAAATCAAATGGAATTTTCATTTAGTTTTGAGTTTTTTTTGTTCTTTTGGTCAAAATATAAATTTGAGGTTTGTTTTGCAATTTTTTCTCTTCTAGTTAAGAACTAATTTACTCTTTAGTCCCTCAACCTCCCGAATCCGCCACTCTCGCTCGCTGGATCCTTGCCGTCCGGTGAAAATCTCTCACAGCTGAAGGCAAGTCATCGTTATGCTTTTGGATACATATCGTATGTGAAATTTTTCTACTACTGAAATCTGCAATTTGAAATTGCTGTTGTTGGTTCAAAAGTGGACTTAAACCCTGAACGAATTTGTGATATGAGATTTACATTTATACATTTCCTTAATTCTGATTCTTGTAGCTATCGAATTGCTTAGGTTATATATCGTTGATGGTTTGATTTTTCATTGGTGTTTTGGTTCTTGCGCACCAAGTGTTTGACAAAATTACTCAATGAGCATTTTTCCCTTTGTTTGCAGGACATTCTTGTTCCGAGGTGGTTATAAGGACGAAGCCATGAAGAGTCTGATATGGTTAACAGCAGAAGAGGCTGCAAAGAACAAAGGAAAAGTTCTTTCTTTGTATCGACAATTACTTCGGAGCATCAACTCGCCGAAATTGCAGCTTAGTTATGCTGCAAGACTTGCAAAGAAAGCTGAGGTTAAGACCATCTTCTTGTTTGGCTCCGAGGAGATTTCGAAACACAATGTCGCTGATCTCATCCGTACCGCTGAATATGCTCTTTCTCAGTTGAAACAAGGCAAAATCCCCAACAACACCACTCAGTATTGAGTCATCATTGTCGCTCTCACTCTCATTATCACACATTCATGGATAATTGGATATATATGCCTAAGCTTGCTGATAGTTTCAATCTTTATCCCTTTCATGTATGTCATGTTTTTAGTATTACAAGATGTGTTGGTTTAGCAAACATGTATGTTTTTGCATATTGTTCATTAATGCAAAGTTTGAGAATAACACAATGCATAAGTTATATTGTCCAAATTGATGAAAACAAAGTGATTATAGTAGAATGACCTTTTTTTTCTTTCACAAATCAACGGTTTAAGACAATGTTTATAATTATAATTCGACAAGAATCTACTGGATTCTACCAAAACTTGCATCAAAAAAAATGTCAGCTCACAATCTTTTCAATAAACACTCAAAATTAATCAGCTCTCATTCTGAGTTCTCGTGCCCTTCGTCTACCTTCTGAGTTTGCTGTTTTCCAATCTGTGGCCGTCTCATAGCTGAATAAGCAGAGAAAGATGAAGAACCATAATGTCACAACTTGTACAAGTTTGGTCATTGTCTTAGTATGTTTTAGAAAAACACATTCCGAAAAATAAACTTACATTTAAGAGCTGACCCGGCAAGACATGTAAGCCTTGATTTAGTATTTGTCTCGGCTAATGGTTTTGTATTCTCTTTAGCCGCCATTCGCACGTCCCAAACACGTATGATCCCATCAGACGATGCAGAACCAATCAAGTATGGATCTTCCAAGGAGCCGTCACTATCATTCCTGGTGAGCACAATAATTCCTTTGATTCGAGCTGGGTGAGCATCTTCTATGGAGTAAGCAAGCTTCCCGCTATTTGTGTCCCAAGCTGTTATAGCCCGATCCTCACCACCTGTAAACAGAGTTCCACTCTGTTGCAAATTAAGCAAACCTTTGAGTTAAGAAATAAAGTCTCTGAATCAAAATTATAACCATTTCCAAATATAAAACAAAAACACGATAACAATAAGAAACCGGAAGAACTCTGTTTAGCCAAATAACTCGTTTTCGGAGGCTTTAACAGCATGGCAAATTCAGGTATTTACACTACAACAACCAAAAACTTGAACCGATCACACGATTGAACAAAAGAAGCAAAATTTCGTTGAAAGAATTTATTTGTTACTCTATAAAAGGACATATAGATACCATAAACCTTTTCACAAAAGAGTTATCATAGTCTAGGAATGAATACTATTATAGCCTTAAATTAACCTCCTTTCAGGTTCCAAGGTGGACTATTCTGCAATGTACACACCTGGGCAACATAGGACTAAGCATGAAATGAAACAACAACCGGATCACGCAGCTCTAGTTCAATTTAGACAGCAATCAAAGTAAACCAACAAACAACAAGCTAAGAATCTCAAAGTTGCTCTCACAGAATACTTTAAACATGCCAAATGTTCCAATGAGAGACTAAAGTTGCAATTGTGAGCATGACAAAGAAACTGAAACTTCGAAAGAGTAAGAAACACCACCTCTCCGGGAGCAGCACAGAGTATACGCTTGCGGCTCGGATTCTCGAGCTCGAGAAGAAGCTTAGCATCTTCAGACTGATGAACTCCAACTTTATTACTCACAACCATGAAAAACCTTTCACCACTAGGATCAAATTTCACAAGACTAGCTTCATGACCTAACCTACAACAAAAACTCCTCTTTCCTCTAACCAAATTCAACATCGCAAAGAACTCATCACGATAAACAGCTAAAGCAAGCTTCCCTGAAGGATGAATCGCCAAATCATTAACCGCTTTCTTATGAGGACGAAACGACTTAAGCAAAACAAAAGGATCGGTATCGAATATCGCGACGGAGCCATCTGCGGCGGCGGAGATTAGATTACGAGGGAAGGAGAGGGACGAAGGAGTGTAGAAGGAGAGAGCAGTGATAGAAGCTGCGTGATTGTGGTCAAGGAGAGAGCCAAGGGAAGAAGCGGAGGGGAGGTCGTAGAGGTGGATTGTATCGTCGGAGCCGCCGGAAGCAGCGGCGGGACCGGAACAAGCGACGGTGGTGATTGGGGAGATGTGGGAAGGGTAGGAGAAGAGAGGGGAGAGAGTTAGGGTTTGGTTATCGGCGTCGTGCTTTGTGGGTTTAAGCTTGAAACCCCAAATGAATCTCTCGTAGGAGCCTGCGATGATACTCATTGTAGCTTCGATGAGAGGTTTCGAAAGTGAAGAATGTCTGATTGAAATTTTTAGGGTTTTAGGTTTTTATTGAAGAGGAAGGCAATGTTTTGTAAATTAAACCGGATACTAAACCGGCTAGTTTTGTGGTTTATGGCTCAAACTTGTTGGCTCGATTGAACCGACTTTTTTTCTTTTTAGCATCATCATTTTTTACTTGGCTGACTTATGCAACCCAGTGACTAGGCCTGGGCAAATAAACCGAACCGAATGTATCGAACCGAAACTGAAGAAAAAAAACCGAACCGAACCGAACCGAAAATTTAAAAATAACCGAATGGATACTAAATTCTATAACCGAAATAACCGTAACCGAATCGATACCGAACCGAAATATTTCGGATAACCGAAATACCCGAAATACAATTATATTTTCAAAATAATTAGTTATTTATAGACCAAATAATCAAAAATACTTAAAAATATATATAAAAATAGTAAAAATACTCGAAAATAACCGAAATATATCCAAAAATATCCGAAAATACTCAAAAATAACCGAAATATCCGAAAATATCCTAAGCAAAATAACCGAATGGATACTAAATTTTAAAACCAAAAAAAACCGGAACCGAACCGAAACCGAACCGAAATTTCAAAATAACCGAATGGATACTAAATTTTGAAACCGAAAGAACCGAAACCGAATGGACCCAACCGATAACCGAACGGTTAACCGAAAGCCCAGGCCTACCAGTGAACATGGTTTATCCAGGTGATTGGTTTAAACTAGGCATGGACATATAGGTAACATGTTCGGATTCGGCTAAAACCCTTTCGGGTTCGGATTAAATAGGTAATGGATTTACTATCCAATAGAGTAATTATAAATATTCGGTTCCGGTCCGGTTCGAGTACACTTGGGTTTGGGTCGGTCTGGATAATAATTTTAAGAATCAATAAATGCTCGAAAAATTCGGGTTTCTTTCGCTTCGGATCTGAATGGTAAAAATTACCCATAAACCCGAAATATCACAAGAATACCCGAACTTTAAAACACTTGTATATGCACAAAACACACGAAAATGGAAAATAGAACTTCAAACTTAACATCCAAATCCAAGGCAAAGTCACAAAGATTAATACTTAGAGTTAAGAGTAGAAAAACTGACAAATATAAGTTCTTAAACTCCTTAAACAAGAGTACCTAATTGGCAAACCTCAAAAAAAAAATCCGAATATGAAAAACATAGAACTAGAACGAGTTGATTGATGATGAGTGATGACTTTGTTTTGTATCTTTGTCTCCTGAAAAGATAAAACAAACAAAATGACAACCTCAGTTACATAGGTAACCTAGTATAAAACTATAAACCTATATCTATATGTGTATATACGTATATACATATATGGCTTTTATCGGGTTTATGGGTATCCAATTTGGGTAATGAGTAATCTCCGAACCGATCTGGGACTTACGGGTTTACCAAACTGTACCCAATGAGGTAATTTCATCTTACCCTTACCCACCCCAAACCATTTTTTTCGGTCCGAATATCGGTCCGAGTATCGGATCCGTTTTTTTTTGCCCAAGTCTAGTTTAAACTTTAAAATCTAAACTAGATAAGTAACCCGCACAAAGTGCGGGGAGAATAATTAGTAAATAAATTTAACATTGGGGTTAACTATATAATCTATTGTAATGGCTAAAATGTGTAATGACTTTAGATTTTATATGGAAATATTAATCGTCTATAAAATGATGATTATTTTGATATTATAACTTATTATTAATAGGATAAATAATCACTTAAAATTAGAATTACGATTTTTATGTATTGTTTGTGAATTTTTTTGTGTTTTGATTCATAAACAAAGTATATGTGATTGTGATTTTTGAATCATTGTGGATGAAGATGATATTGGCACTCTATTTATAGGAAAATATGGTTTTGAAGTTTTTTTTTTTTTTGATTTTTTACAGATTAATGTTGTGGTTGCATTTATTTAAGATTTCGTTTTGAAAACAGATTAATTTTAAAACCAAAACGAATATACTTAGTGATTGTTAATTTCGTTTTGAAAACAAACTAATTGGAAGAACAATACATATAAATGAATTTATTATATACTTATATTATTTGATGGAGGCATGGAGCTGTGCTTATGGCTCGTTCGGTGTTAATAATATTACCATAATCTCAACAACTATTTTCTAAAGTGGATATACGGAATAGATCTAAGATTAAAACCATAAAAGCATTGAAAACACAGATCTTCTTTTAGGATATATTTATTTAAAATTAATAAATCAGATTAAGCACTGAATTCGAACTTTAGTGCTAGTGTAAATAAATCCAAGAAGTATTCTAGTTTAAATTAAACCTAATGTTTTTTTTTAAAATACATAAATGATTATTTTAATAATAATGAGTTTTACTTAAAATAAATTACTTACAACATAGTATCCCTTATACAAATATATATATATATATATATATATATATATATTTATATTTATATGTATATATATATATATATATATATCTTCAAATACAAAAATATACTATATAGTGTTTTAGTTAATTTGAAAACGAAAATAACAGTAGTTTATTTGAATATTCATATGAAGTTGTACTATTATTTTCTTAATACACTAATAATCACTTATGACCAATATTAAATACAAAAATATGTTAAATAGTGTTTTAATTAATTTGGAAAACAAACGAAAATAAAAGTAGTTTATTTGAAATAATAATTATGTAAGATTAATTGCTTACTTATTTGCTTTTTCTATTAGAATTTTGTTTTTTAATTTGTGTGATATATGTAATGTATGAGACTAATGGCAAATTCTGTAAATAGTCTATTAGAAGTTGGGTAATTATTTAAATAGGAGCCAAATCATTGTGAGAGCGACACATCAGCGTGACAATTTTGTTAATAACACATCATGGTAAGGTTTATTTTTGTAGAGTGTTTCTCTATTAATATATAGGGGATTTTATCAATCAGACTAAAAAATCAATGTAGAATATTCTATAATCTAGTCATTTATATGATTTAAAGTTATAATTTCAAAACTCATCATTTTTACTAATTGGTTTCAAGCATAATAAAAACTAGGATCGGACCCGGACGTACGTCCGGGGTTATGATAACATAGTATTTTCTGAATAAGTAATTTATGTCATTAGGTTGTGTGTGTTTGTTTGGAAAACAAAATTTGGTATGACTATGTAAATGTGATTATATTTGAGAGATGACATTATTGAATAATATGGTATGGTAAATCAATCTAAGTGGTATTTAAAAGATGTATGTGCGTAGAGTATGTATAAAAAATAATTGGGTTTGGAGGGGTTACATTTGGTAATAATAAATAAAAGATGTATTATATTCAATAGATAATAATAGATAATTTAAAAAAATGTGATAATCTTAAAAATGTAATTTCCTATGTATAACTTAAGTATTTATAATTTAGTACCGTTCTTATTACAAATTTAAAAATTATAGAGGCCCAAAAAACTATAAATAATTAATTTTAGTTAGGCCGAGTTATTTATATTATATGTTTTTGAAAACAAAATTGTTGGGCCAAATGTTATGTTAGCCCATGTAACTTGCGGATTTTATAAAGTAGTATCTTTTGTTTGTACGTATTAATTCTTTCCTAAATTGAAGTTTGAAATACTAACACAATGTAGTCTTTTTTTTTTAATAAATAATATTCCTAAACAGTTGTCAAATATAATGCATGATATAGTTAATAAATGAATAATATAGAATAGAAATTGAATATTACACAGATGCAAAATAACTGCCTTGCATAATTCCAGATATACCACAAGTTCAAGAGTTAAAAAAATAACAGAAATAGGCAAGACATTAATAAGGATAAAAATCCAAAGTAACAAACGGGTAAGTACAATGGATTCTCAAACATTTTTTCTTCCAGACTCAGTCGTGGATGCTTCATTTTATTTATCTTTTGTCATCACATTGTTGAGATAATAACGACCAGCAAATTCGCATATGAGATAATAAATAATTTTTAGTTTTGATGATCAAATGATGTAAAATGCTACATAAAAATTTTCATTAACTTTAAAAAACTCACTTTGTTATGTGATTAGTAAACTCACTTTAAGTAACATATTTTTCAGGCCTAATATTATATTTTAAATAGAAATAATAAATTCAAATTAAATAATTAAAACAAAAGTAAGGAAATAAAATCTGTGATAATATTTGTTAACGTCGTCTTCCCGCTCAACTACTCATTTTTTGTTTTACTTATTGATTTAGATTAGGGTTTTGATGTTTATCTTTTTTTTTTTTTAGTCAAACATATCATTAGAATTCCTATATAAAAAAGATCGACAATCTCTTTGGTAAAATACTTATTTTTCATTAATAGAATTTGCAGAATTTGATCTCTTCTTCCTTGATCTTGGAATTAATCTACAAATTAACAACCTCAAAATATAAGATAAAATGCAAATATTAATTAAAAATAATTTTTTGCTAGCAAGTCTTTCACGTGCAAAAACATGGAATCTATATCCATGGATGCCAAAAACATGGAAAATTTTTTTGAATCCAGAGGGATACATCGATCATGATTATAAATATATATGTTCAATATTAGACTCATTCATATCAGTTTTTATGTTCAGTGATTTCTTCCCCTATTATTTTGGTTGGTAATATATCTTACATTTGCTGATTTGGAGCGTATGGTAACCAGTTTGATCATATAGCACAAAGTACCAATTTCTTCTATTTTCTGATGATGCTGAAACTTAGGATAATTTAGTTTCTGACATTTGCATTGTTATTAATTAGAAGAATGTTCAAAGAGAGAAAAACAAATGTTCGAAGAGATAAATACCAAAACTCTAATAAAAATCTCTTTTTGAAAAATATATACATATATAAACGAAAAGAAGTATTGATGAGAAGACGTCACGGAACGTCAACGATTTTATTTTAATTTCATTTGTTTAATTTCATTTTTATCTTTGTTTAAATGTAATATTACATTGCACATTTTTA